GGAGTGCAGTGGCCGCTCCCGGCCACCGCAACCTCAACCTGCTGGGCTCCAGCGATCCTTCCACCTCAGCCTTCCAAGTGGCCGGAATTACAGGCTTCGCTACCATGCCCGGTTTATTTTTTGATTTATTGTAGAGATGAGGTCTTGCTGCCCAGGCGGGTCTCGAACCCGCGGGCTCAGGCAATCCACTCACCTCAGCCTCCCAAAGGCGCGGGATTACAGGCTGAGCCACCGAGCCCGGCTCATATAGTAATTCTATGTTAACTTTTTGGAGATACTTTGAACTGTTTATCAGAGGCTGAACCATTTTACATTCCTACCAGCAATGTTATAAAGTTTCCAATTTCTCCACATCCTTGTAATCAACCAACTTTTAAAATATAAGAAATATTATATAATTTTCCTAAATAGAAGATAATAACTTAAATACAAGTTCATAACTACTTTTTAAAAAAAGGTTGTTTTGAGACCCAAACATTAAAAAAAAACTATGCGCCTATAATTCCAACTACTTGGAAGGCTGAGGCGGAAGGATCGCCGGAGCCCAGCAGGTAGAGGCTGCGGTAGCCGGCAGTGGCCACTACACTCCAGTCTGGGTGACAGAGTGAGACTCCAACTCAAAAAAAAAAAACTGCACTATATTGTAAGGCACAGAATATTTACTTAATCACAGCGGTCAAGAATAAGCTCTAATTTTATAAATACTGGAAAAGCAGGCCAGAAAAGTGCAGAGACTTGCTCAAAGTCAAAGCTAAAGGATGCTTCTAGAGGCCAGAAGAGAGGAAAATGTTTTAGTAGCATTCTGTAACTTCATTCTCAGATCTACTCATTCCAAGCATTCCTTCAAGTTCCTGACCCCAATGTTGCTTCTACTACCTTTTGAGGATAAGTAAGAATCCCAGTAAGAAAAGAGGCAAGTGCTCGCCTATAGTCCTGGCTACTTGGAAGGCTGGGGCGGAAGGATGACTGGACCCCAGCAGGGCCGGGAGCCTGCCACTGCACTCCAGTCTGGGCAACAGAGTGAGACTCCAACTCCAAAAAACAAAAAGAAAAGAAAAGAAAAAGAGAAAAGGCCAGGTGCAGTGGCTCACATCTATAATCCTAGCACCTTGGGAGGCCGAGGCAGAAGGATTGCTTGAACCCAGGAGTTTGAAATCAGCCTGGGTAACACAGCAAGACCTTGTCCCTATTTTTAAAAAAGAAAGAAAATAACAGATGGTTTCCAAATGAGAAGCAGAACACAATGAGTGCCATGAAACAATAATTACATCAGTCTGTCTAAAGATAGGCAGCCACTATGACAGCTAAATGTGGGGATTAGCCAATTTTAAAATGGCCATTAAAAAAAACTTGTGGCTTCTAATCTCCCTTTCTGTGTACTCATAGCCCTTTCTGGTCCCACCCATGTACCAGGACAAGTAACATCAGTACACCCCCATCCTTTCTGAAGCTCTGAGTTCTTTCTTCCATATATATAAATTTTTTCTTGTTTTTAAGACAGGGTCTCACTCTGTGGCCTAGGCTGGTAAGATCATAGAACACTACAGCCTCAAACTCCTGGGCTCAAGTGATCCTCCCACCTCTGCCTCCCCAGTAGCTAGGACTACAGGTGTGCACCACTGTACCCAGCTGATTAAAAAAAATGTCTTTTTAGAGATGGGATCTTGCTATATTTATTGCCCAGGATGGTCTTGAACTTTTTGCCTCAAGCAATCCTTCTGCCTCAGCCTCCCAAAGTGTTGGGATTACAGGTGTGAGCCATGCGCCTGACCAAATATTTTTAAATACTTTATTTACTGGTCTGGGAGGGAAAAGGGTACTGGAGTTTTCAGGTGGATGGCTTTTCCAAAGTGGAGATGACAAAGGCCTCTGGCTTGGCTTCCTGTTTCAGTACTCCAGTCAGCAGGAACTCAGGTGAGAGGAGGGGGACCCCAACCCGAAATGGAATGGAGCATCGAGGGAAGTCCTGAGGGCATGTGATCACAATTCTCTGAGGCTGGAGGAAACAGAGCAAAGACAAGTCAGGGGTGAAAAATAATCCTAGAAATGCGTTCAGGACCCACTAATTGGTCTTAGCATCACTAAAATAATATGAAGCCTGATACGAAGCCATATGAAACACAATGCACACTGTCTATGAAGTAGTCTTGCTGGAAAAGCTGAGCCTGAATTTATTCAAACTTTAAAAATTAACTATAGTTTGTCGCAGTGACTCACACATGTAATCCCAGCAATTTGGGAGGTAGAGACGAAAGGATTGTCTGAGCCCATGGATTCGACACCAGCCTGGGCAGCATGGCAAGACCTCATCTTTACAATAAATAAAAATATTAGCTGGGTATGGTGGTGAGCATCTGTGGTTCCAGCTACTTGGAAGGCTGAGGCGGAAGGATCGCCTGAACCTAGCAGGTCAAGGATGTGGTAGCAGTGAGTGTGCCACTGCACTACAGCCTGGGCGACAGAGTGAGACTCTGATTAAAAAAATAAAAGCCGGGCTCGGTGGCTCAGCCTATAATCCCGAGCTTTGGGAGGCTAAGGTGAGTGGATTGCCTGAGCCCGCAGGTTCGAGACCCGCCTGGGCAACTTGGCAAGACCTCATCTCTACAATAAATCAAAAAATTAGCCGGGCGTGGTAGCGCGCCCTGTAGTTCTGGCTACTTGGAAGGCTGAGGCAGAAGGATTGCCGGAGCCCAGCAGGTCGAGGCTGCAGTGGCTGGGAGCAACCACTGCACTCCAGTCTGGGTGACAGAGTGAGACTCCAACTCAAAAAAAAAAAAATTAAATTAACTGCAATTTACGGGAAATACAAAAGACAGAGGAACAAGATAAATGATACAACAAAGGAGCAAATAGAAAAGTCCAGACTGGGGAGCATTCTAAAGGACAACTGAGCTAGTTTCTGTAGGAAGTCGAGGTGTAAAAAAGGCTGAGTGGGATGAGGGATGCTCCAGAGTAAGAGAATTAGGAGATACAAGTGTGGCAGTGTGTAGACTTTACTTGAATCCTGGTTCAAACAAATGTATAGAGACGTTTTTCAGACAACTGGAGAAATTTTATTAATGGAGGATGAGAAAATTACCGAGAAATTGTTAATTCTGTTATGTAATACAATTGTGATTATGTAACAAAATGTGATTATGTAATAAAATGTACATATTTCTTAGAGAGATATAGGCAAGCATATAAGAAGGAATAAAATATTTGCAGTTTGCTTTCAAATACTTCAGCAGGGCAACCCCCTCAGGTCCCCACCCACTGTGGGAGCTTTTCTGTTCTCTCAATAAATCCTGCTTTCTCACTTAAAAAAAAAAATACTTCAGCAAAGTACCAGGCATGGTGGCTTATGCCTGTAATCCCTACACTTTGGGCGGCCAAGGTGGGAGGACTGCTTGAGCCTAGGAGTTCAAGACCAGCCTAGGCAATATAGCAAGATCCTATCTCTATTTTTAAAAAAGAAAAAAACCAGCTTGGGCAACTTGGTGGGACCTTATCTCTACAATAAATAAAAAAATTAGCCAGGCATGGTACTGTGTGCCTGTAGTTTCAGCTACTTGGAAGGCTGAGGTGGAAGGATCACCCGAGCCCAGTAGGTCGAGGCTGCCATTGCACTCCAGCCTGGATGACAGAGTGAGACTCCAACTCAAAGAAAAAAAAAAAGAAAAAAAAAATAGTTCAGCAAAGAAAACGAAGGAAAAAGGGACACATGCAGCACATGTAGCATAATCTAAATTTTACTGTTAAATCTGGGTGATTGCTATATAGGGATTCATTGTACTGCATTATTTTTCTCCTTTTGTATATATCTGGAAACTTGTAAAATACAAAATAAAATCCATTTGGTATCACCAGATCTCTTTCCTCATTCTTATCCCTTTCTATACCATAGGTCTTTTCCCCACCCTCTCATTACTCTATATTCCCATCTGTACCTCCATTTTTTTCTCTAACCTTTCCTATTTCAGCCATCTCTTTTTAATTTTCTTTTAGAGATAGGGCCTCACTCTGTCACCCAGAGTGAGTATGGTGTGATCATAACTCACTATAACCTTGAACTCCTGGGCTCAAACAATCTTCCCACCTCAGCCTCCTAAATAACTGGGACCACAGATATGAGCCAATGCACCTGGCTCAGTCACCTGTCTCATTGCCACTGCCACTTCACTAGACCCAGAATGTTCCAACCATACCTTGTAGGACCGGGGCATGTTGAGCAGGACAGTGCCTCCACAGCAGCTGATGATATCTCCCATCTGAGGTGGTGGTGGCTGAACGCTAGGGGTCACATGAATCTCATAGCCCTAACAAAAAAAGTAGTGAACATAATGGATGTATACTCTTGAGGCCATGGACCACTGGAAGAAAACTGGAGAGATGACTGAAGCATGGGACAGAAAATAGCCTCTCACCTCCAGCAGCCTTCGCTTTTGAGCCCGGCTCAGGGCGTCTCGAAGGCTGAAACCAAAGTTCTTCTCCTGCTCAGGATCGCTCACTACATATTCATCCAGGGGCAAGAAGCGACCAGCCTTGTGGGACTGAGGATGGCAGCAGTCAGCATCAATGTTCAGCCCAGACCCTCACCCAGCTCTCCTGCCTAGCATTTGTAGAAAACTCACGAAATGTTTTTTGAATGAATATTTAGCCCTGTCTTCCTGTATCCCCTCTTTCCTCCCACCACTTTCCAGAGTGCTACATGAACAGTCTTTTGTCATCATCTCTATTAGTCTGTCATCATCTCTTGGCCCCTTACCTGATGCAGCCAATCCAGGGACAGGATGGGGATCCCCCGTCCCAGGGCACATAGGAACTTGACGGTTCGGCGGATTCGATCAGTAACCAGGTGGGATGCCTCTGCCACTGAGCTGGCCAAACTTCCCCCCAGTGCCAGCACAGCCTGCTCTCCCCAAGCATCTACCACTCCTGTGAAGAGCACCTACAGAAGGGAAGGGATGACCTGAGTTGATCACAGTAACCCATTGGTACCCATCTCTACAATCCCTAGGTCTTCTACCATCCTCCCACATGTGTCTCCCATGAAGCCCCATGATCCTTCTTTCCTACTTTGGGGGTTATTGATTCCTGGCTAGGTTTGGTCCGTCGGAGGCTGCGGCCTGGTATTCCCTTGGGCTCTTCCTCTCCCTCATCTCCCTTTCTCTTGACTGGTCCTGGAATCACTAGGTCCTGGGATTGAGAAAGATCTTGGTAAGTTTCTGAGCCCTGAAGCCCTTTTTTCCTAGCTTCGTGGCCCAAGCCCTCTCCTTACCTCTTCCTTCTCTGGCCTCTCTGTGGTATCATCTCCTTTTTCTTTGAGGAACGCTGTCTTCTGGGAGACTTCCCTTCGTTGGGGCCGTTTTTGAAGTGGGGGTGAATCCACAATAGCTAAAGACCTCTTACGGCTTTGAGAGGCCTTAGGCTGGGGCTCTGGGGTGGACCCAGATCTACCTGCTGCTTTTACCTCTTGGATCTGAGGGTCATGAGTCGGTGCCTCAAGAAGTTGGGGAAAGGCAGGCTCAGGAATGGCTGTAATGGACTCAGCTGCTCCCATTGCTCCCCATCTTTGGTTCCTTGAGGATCGGGATTTAGATTCAGGGGGTGGAGAGCAAGGATTACAAACAGTGGGAGCTGTGAGGGGGCCATACCTCCCAGTAGCTCTCTGTCTCTTGCTGTAAATGGCTTGAGAAATAGGCTGGTCTAAGGTGACAGGAGACTGGGATTCAGGGGTGGTATAAACTGGCACAGTACTTACTGTGGAAGACCTTAGTGTCTTGCTCTGACCACCCTGAGCTACGAGCTCAGGAGTGACAGGCTGGTGTGTGATAATGGGAGGCTCTAGATCAGAGGCTGTTGATTCAACTGGTTCAGGAATCTTGACAGATGACCTATGTGTCCTGCCCCTAATGGCCCGTGATGTGGACTTAGGGGTTACAGGCTGGTCTGTGGAGGTGGAAGGCTGGAGCTCGGGGCTTGTGGGGACAACTGGTTCAGGAGTCTTAACAGAGGACCTATGTATCCTGCCCCTAGTGACCCGAGATATAGGCTCAGGGTTGACAGGCTGGTCTGTGGAGCTAGAAGGTTGGACCTCAGGGCCTGTGGGGACAACTGGTTCAGGGGTCTTGACAGAGTACCTATGTGTCCTGCCCCTAGTGACCCGAGATATAGGCTTGGGAATGACAGGCTGGTCTGCAGAGGTGGAAGGCTGGAGCTCAGGGCCTGTGGGGACAACTACTTCAGAGGTCTTGACAGAGGACCTATGTGTCTTGCCCCTAGTGGCCTGAGATGTGGGTTCAGGGGTAATAGGCTGGTCTGTGGAGTTGGAAGGCTGGAGGTCAGGGCCTATGGGAAGAACTGTTTCAGAAGTCTTGACAGAGGACCTATGTATCCTGCCCCTAGTGGTCCGAGATGTGGGCTCAGTGGTGACAGGCTGGTCTGTGGAGGTGGAAGGCTGGAGCTCAGGGCCAGCGGGGACAATTGTTTCAGAGGTCTTGACAGAGGACCTATTTGTCTTGCCCCTAGTGGCCCGAGATGTTGGCTCAGGGGTGACAGGCTGGTCGATGGAGGTAGAAGGCTGGAGCTCAGGGTCTGTGGGAACAACTGGTTTAGGAGTCTTGACAGAGGACCTGTGTGTCTTGCCCCTAGTGGTCCGAGATGTAGGCTTGGGAGTGACAGGCTGGCCTGTGGAGGTGGAAGGGAGCTCAGGGCCTGTGGTGACAATTGGTTCAGGAGTCTTGAGAGAGGACCTATGTGTCCTGCTCCTAGTGGCCAGAGACATGGGCTCAGGGGTGACAGGTTGGGCTGTGGAGGTGGTAGGGTGGGACTCAGGTGCAGTAGAGGAAACTGGAAAATGTGTCATCCTGGAGGATCCCCGGGGTCTGACTTTAGGCTTTGGATGGAAAGATCCCAGCTCTGAGGACAAGGGAGTCTCTGGAACTTCCTGATTTCTATTTTGCCTAGTCTTAGGAATGCGTGGCTCAAGAGAAGGTAGGAAGGGAGAAAGCAGGGGCTGAGGTGCAGAATGTTTTTGGCTCTGAGAGATAAGAGGGTTTTGGGGTGGAACTGAGACTTCAGGCACTGTAGGAGGCAGACAAGCATCTGAGGATTCCTGATCACCCTAGAGAGAAACAGAAGCAAGTGAGTGAGGAAGAGGTGGAGAGAAAAGAGACAGAAGTTGGATACTGTTCTTGATTCTTGGTTATGGTTAGAGTGTACTCACTAGGTTTTTCTGTCTGTGACTCTCTCTTCCACTAAATTGAACACTTCCTGGGGAGAAAGCAGTACTCTTTCCCACAGACCCCTCCTCATAGTGCCACTATAGTGGCATATAGATAATGGTAATGAAAAGGGTGGCTGGGGCAAAAAGTGAAGGAACATGAAGAAAGGGACTTTCTGAGACAGATAGAAGGAGAAGCAACTCAGGAAACAATGGGTGTTAAGGGTAAAGGAACAGATGATGAAAATGGAAGAAAATTGAATACAGAGAGAGGAATAGATTAAAATGAGGCTAGGGGCCAGGCTTGGTGGCTCAGCCTGTAATCCCAGCACTTTGGGAGGCCAAGGCGAGTGGATTGCCTAAGCCCGCAGGTTCGAGACCAGCCTGGGCAACTTGGCGAGACCTCGTCTCTACAATAAAATAAAAAATAGCTGGGTGTGATAGTGCATGTCTGTAGTTCCGGCTACTTGGGAGGATCGCTAGAGCCCAGAAGACCTATGTCGACGCTGGGGTGGCCGTGAGCGTGCATGCCACTGCATTCCAGCCTGAGTAAAGGAGTGAGGCTCCAACTCAAAAAAAAAAAAAAAAAAAGAAAAAGAAAAAGAAACAAGGCCAGGGAAAGAGGCACAGGAGGAGATGTAAGATGACTTGAGGAATAGGGGAAGATAGAGAAAGCAGCTCTTACCATGGAAGCCTTCTTAGCAGGTGGCATCTTGCAATTCAGGTGGCCTAGACAGAAAGTAAACATAAGGGTGGCTGAGTTCCAAGCAGTTGGTTGCTCGGGGATTGATTATCAGGCAGGCTGCATGCCACCTCGAATTCCCTTCTGCCTTCACTTACTTCCCTCTCCTGCCACCTGGGGCTTCACTTGAATGGTTCTCAGAAGTTACCAGGGTTGACATGGGTACCTGACCGCCCCAACTTCAGGTTCTAGTGTTAAACAGAAGGCCTGCCCTTTCTGGTCCTGGTTCCCTCCCTCCAGCACCCCTCTCTGGGGACCTCTCTCCAGTGTCACTTTGGGTACCTTCACTTTTTTTTTTTTTTTTGAGTTGGAGTCTCACTCTGTCGCCCAGACTGGAGT